GTGGTTTTTGTATTAGACCCGTCGTCCATTTATTTGTAAGTCAATGTTATAAGTTCATTTTTGGTCTATCTATCACGTTTTGTCAAAAGTCACGAAGCCAAAGTTCTTGTTTATGATGTTAGTAATCTAGTTCTGAAAGGATGTTAATAGGTATTTTAAAAATAACCATGTATAAACTAAAATAAATAACGTAAATATTTCTGTAATGTAGTACGTTGTGTTCTTGTGGTGTAAATATATTTTGATACATATAAAAGATCTTACCCCTTCTTCGGTAATAGTGATCATAGAAGGCGCAACGGCAACCGCTACAGGCCGCCACTGCGACGGCGCACGCGCTGCAGCGAGCCGATCTAGCGCGTCATTCAACACGTCCATGCCAGTGGCCCTTGAGACCTCTGCACTGCCCAGGTACCGCGCCCGAACTGTCTTACGTGGCTCTTCCATTGGCGTCGGGAACGACGCCCCTGTAAGAACTTAGGATACAGTAGATAGATGTTTTTGAGACTGAAAGGTTTGAAAGATGTCGAAGATGTTGAAGATTCGAAATATAGGAGAATTTCGGTACTGGCGAGGAGCAATCAATCCCGGTACCGCAATTATAGATTCCCGGTACGCCCGATTATAGCAAGGAACTACCTATATACAGAGCCATGAGCTATATTTACCATTAAATTCTGAAAAATAGTTTCGTTTACTTGTTTTTTTTATGTTGTTGTTAATGTTATAATGTTATTTGTACTTGTTTCGAAGACTGATAATAATTTTTAATGCCATTATAATTTTCTTAAATTTAATAGTAATTGTCTGTCAAATAGATATTTTGAATAAAAACCTTTAGTTTGATTAGATAATGAAGTATTTCTTTATTATTTATGGTATTATTATTATATAAATCATTGAATAACTATGGATAACCGGGAAAAAATTCACTTTACTAGTTACAGTTTAAACTTTTCAAGGAGTACCGGAAATACTGGAAGTACCGGTATTGAGCTGAGCCCGGCCTAATGGCTGTAAAAGTAGAGTGGAAGCAATTACCGGAGAGCGGGCGCGGACGCCTAGCAGCGGGTAAGTCAGTGGGACGCGGCGGGGCCTGCAGACTTCGCTCGATCATGATGCGCTTACAGATGTCGCGCAGCGCGTTGGCAATACTGCGCGCCGGAGCCTCGCAGCGGAACACATGGCACATGTGCTTACGCGTCACGCGGTCGCGTGCCACATACGCGAAGTCCCTGCACGGGTTCATAAGTATTATATATTTTCTGTTATCGGTGAACATTTCTTACCTCCAATGAAACGTATGTGTAGTGATGTAAGGACCTACTGCTAAAAGTTCTGCAAACAACTGGGTTAGTGATATGATAATTCGTGTAACTAATGCGGTTCCAGTAAGGATTAACAAAGGTATACAAGTTGAGATGATAGAGTCTAGACGTCATTCTCAAGATTCTCATCTTGCTTAAGCGCGGTTAGGCAGAAAAAAATGTATTTTATGCTTCTAATTACAATTCAATTTTAAGAAGTTGATGGGGTGACATTTAAAAGCATTTAGAACAAAAACATGGCAACATCTAAAACAACTACCGTCATACCTTTCACTATTCCAAGACCGCAAAGAGAAAGAAAAAACACTTGTTTAGTTAACATTTAGAAAAACTAAATTCCTATTGCTTTGCAATTACAACTTAGTTCTAACGAAGTATTTGATCTGTAGAAAGATGAATTTAAAGTGGGATATGTAGGAAGGGCAAATGATGTACAACTTAACATCGGCAAGGACAATTTGGAAAGTGCATTTTCAAACTAGTAGCTAGCGAAAGGAATCTCTTCTTCGTAGAAACCAGGAATAGCTACGTCACACCAAATAACCTAAAAAATTAAACGCTAATAAAAATGGACCCGGTTCCAACGACTTACCGTCCGTTATCTCGGCCCACTCCCCAAACGCGAATGGTATGTATTGGCTGGGTGTGAAGTGTGGTCAGGCTTTCTGGGTCAATTAACTTCAAAGCGCCGTCGTCCAGATCCATGAAAAGATCTTTGCCCTGTAATAGAATAAGATATTATCTCTAATAGAGCAGAAGCACAGTTAAATTCGAATGTTAACAATGACAAACTATCTCGTTTTAAAAACTGGTAGCAAACAAACTGTTGTACACAAACACAAGATAACTGCCAAAAATATTTAGATTATTTAATTATTTGCTATTATAATATAATGAATATTAAGCAAAAGAGACATGGAAAACAATGTTACTAAAAGGAATAAATTATACCATAAACCTATGATAAATCTTCAATAGAATTAGTAGGTATCATATCAATCAATAATTTGGACGAAGAAATTTTATAATAATAAACTCACGTCACCCCAACGGCCAACTTGGTCGAGCAAGTCATTCCGACCAAGACTGAGGTCCACAATGCATTTGTTGACAGCGCGACTAGATCGCTCCGGCGTAAGGTCGGCTTCAGAGATCTCCACCCAACCCAGCGAACGAACAAAAAACCTGACTGCGCGCCCGTTGTCTGGTTCTGGACGGGCAGGGAAGCTGCGACGCCTGAAATTATACAGAAATATATTAAGTTAAAGGCAACAATAATAAAACACTGTCGTTGTGCCCGTTTTAAAACGACTCGAAGGATCCCCTTATTCTGGAATCTTCTTTAAAAAATCCTCATACCATAATATAAATCAACGTTAACATCAAACTCAAAATCTTCATGCATTTCGATATAAATGGTTACTTCTTCTCCAAGTATCATCAATATCAAAAGCGGTGTTTACTTGTAAGACATCTCTTCTTTCCTCTTCCTCTCAGTATCCTGATCGACGTGGTCTAAAGCCCCACTGGTGGTACTTCTGGTCACTGAAGAGGTCATGACGTTGTCGTACTTCGCCACCTCTGATAGGTTAGAGCAGTCTCGAACCATGGAGATTCTGGATTCTTTAGCTTCGACCGGTGGCATTTTTGGTATCTCTCTCTGGATTGTTCCACTTTTTATATGCCAGTAGTACGGACCGTCGTGATCTGAAAAATAGGCAACAATTGGACAAGATCGAATTTACTAATTTTAGCAAAGTATTGCAACGAGATATGTAGTTAGAAATGTTCTCGTATCTTCACTGTCAAACAATTCTATTGTTGAACGGATCGGAAATTGTAGTAGGTTCGTGTTGAAAAAAAGAAATAAACAACCTTTGTTAAAAAATCTAGTAAACAACAAAGACAATAGTTTAAATTGTTTGTTTTTTCCGGAACTGTGTGTTTTTACTGCTGCTTCCATCGTTATTTAAAACAAAAATGATCTGTAAAGGTGGTTAACTAAAAGGTGTTTACAAAACATGTCCGCGTTCACTTTTCCGTTTAAGAATGTAACTTGTTTATATTTGAGCGCATTTTTTATTGTTAATCTGGTGCGTACAATATGGATAGTTTACTTGTTTGAGATCAGGTGTCGTGAGATTGCAAACTTACCCTCATGCTTTTCCCATCCCGGTGGCAACTGAAGTTCTTTTTTCGGTCTCAGTTTCACCGGTATCGCATAGAGGTCGTCATTGGGACCCTCAGCCTGGTGTGGCACGGGGCCTGAGTGACTCTTCTCCGTGTCTTCCTGGTCAGCTCGCTCTTTTTCTGGTGGAGGGGATTCTTCTCCTCCATTTTGTTGGGGTGGGGTGATGAGGCCACTTTTGTCACTGGAACGAAGAATTGATGCTTAATTGTCTTGATTATAAATACAAAAATCGAACACGCAGAAAAATTTCGCCGACCCGGTGGGACTTCAAAGCACGTCCATGCTGCACCGTATCATTGCTCTTACCAACTGACCTACGGGTCCAGTTGCCGAGCCGTAGATATTCTTCTGATTTTTTTAAACTTTGTATTGGCTTTCGGCATTCGTCGCTGCTAGTGACATCTAGTGAGAGATTTTTGAATAACCTAGTCACCGCAGCCGATACCTTTACAGTTATCACAACTGACGCAGATTGATTGTCTTATCTAATGTTTTTTTTTATTTCTTCTTCATGATTGAAGCTACTCTTTATTTTGATATCTTAGTTACTATTCTAATGTGCAAGTACAAATGTTGAACGAGAAGTATAGAACCAACCGGGTTTTCCTAAATAAAGTTTTGCTTTGTCTAAATCTTAATTAACCTTCTACAGGTACCTTCTATATAACGATCGACACTCACACAAAGGCATTGTACATAGGTACCTAGGTGATAATATGAATATATAAACGACCAATTAACTTTGCTTATAAGGTCTTGAAATCTTACTAAAGTTCAAGAACGAGCGTTAAAACAAAAGCATCGTTTACAAAGGTGCCTACGCCTTAGTCGGATGAGTCACGATCATAATTATGTATCATTTTACAGACATTATGGTTTTGCATTCAAGACTGAATCCTACATATTTATCTAGGAGTTAACTGGTTACATTTGATATAATTTGCTAATAATACGTACTCGTGCGACAGTCAAGCTGTTTAAAGAAATTAATTTATCTGAAAATGAAAGCTTTTCAAATCATCAGCACGTCGGGTTACGGCAGTGTTTTAGGGCCCCTGTGTTTCTCGATGGCTTCGCCATACTTTTCAGTTGTTATCTAAATCAACTGCAATATACAGGTTCATCATGTCGAAATCAAGTCAAATAACCATTTATTCCATAGGTAAACATTTTTACACTTGAAAACGTAATTTTTTAAGCTACTGCTCGTTCACTATGCTGACCTCTCTGAGAAGGAAACTCTAGGATTTGCTCTTTTCAAATAAACTTAAATGCTATGGAATACTCTTTGAATCATAATTGTGTGTCATCTAGTCTCTTGTTGTCTTTCCCTACTTCTTTATCTAAAACATACTCTTCAATTTTATAATATGTCTTTTCAATTAAAATACTTTTAATGTAAGTTTTAATTAGAAAATGGTAATCTTAATATATTCTCCGGAATGTAATTGTAAAAACGTATATAGTTCCCTATTAAATAATCGTTTACCTTAGTTAAACGAAATCGTGGTACCGTGAGTTTGGACTTAGGTATAAGGTAGCATCATGATGAGCTTATATTAGATTTATATATGAACATAGTTCTGTATATATATTATTTATTGGTGTTATAGTAATTAAGTTCGTATTTAATAATCACTTATTGTACCTTGTGATTAGTATCTTTTATTTAATTTCATTTAACGATATAGTCATTTATAGTTTCATTTTCATTCCTAGTTCTATGTAATGTATACAGACTATATCTATATGTCTGTGGTAATGTACCTAATAAGATTTATTTTGTTTTGTATTTTGTGGTGGGAAATAAACATATTTATTATTGTTTATTTATTTATTTATGGTACCGTTTATTGTCTTTTTTTGTATTTGTTCATAACGTTCAATAAAGAGAATTTCTTTGTATTACATTGTGCGTGAGAAATTAATAAGGTGCCAGCGTTTTCAAGTCCTGCAGGCTTAGCATGAGCCCGAAGACAAAAGTTATCTCTTCTTCTAACTGTCAATTATCTCTCGAAAATGACCTCACTACGAATTATCTCTAACCGAGATGGTTATTATGCAGGCGCGAGCATAAGCGCTATGAAGAATTGCCGCGCATACAAATGTCAAATGAATTTCTCTACAATCATAACGCGACAGATGAATTTTTTTATACTTTAGACAGATCGTCCTAGGGAAATATCTCTACTACCCTTGGGGCATACTATATCTTTATAATTAGGGATTTAAATTTAATAATTAATTTTATGATTATATGCCTTAGAATAATAACGCATAGAAACCTAGCCTGCACACGCTAAGTGAGGCAAATTGAAGCGCGCCCAAAGGGATACACGAGCGGGCGGAGCTTCAGTGCTCAAGGTCAACTTGCACCGCGAACAGATCAAGAATTTTAGCTAAAAATGGCGAAATGTGCGGTAAATGAGTGTAAAAATACGTCAGACAAACATAAAATAGATACTAACATCACATTCAACAAGGAAGTAACGCGTTTCAACTTGTATTTTTATATAAATATTCACTAAAACCTAAAATTAACCTACTACTAAAACTAGCCTACATGAATTTGATTTTTGGCTCACTTGTGACAGTTCGTGTGATATGAAACTATCATTCTATGCGTTATTATTCTAAGTTTTATGCCATGAAAGTGTCTCGTGCCTATCGTAATTATTTATTAAGTTTTTATGAGGAAAAACTGACATGAAAGAGACAATGAACCCTAAGGCCGAGTTTCTCAGTAATTTCAAGGTGTCCTGGGAATTAAAAAAATATTTGTGTTAGGAAGTAGATGAAGATCTAGCTCCCCGAATGTCCACAGGTATATCTGTCAGGTTCAAAGTAAGTGACGGAAAGGACGGACGGACGTAAATAAACAAACAGTAAACACAAGATGGTTTTTTTTTGCTATTTTCCTTTTCGTCAAAATGCGTTTTCGACTTAACAAAAATATCAATATGATTTGCGTAATAAATACAGCTATATATCAAAATCAGTGTTACCTTTTATTTTCATTGATTTAATGCTCGCCATAAACCCTAAAAAAACGTCACAGCAGAAATGGATGAAGGGAGTTGGAGTTGTGCCTCTAAAAACTATTACCGGTTTAGTGTGACCCCTGTGAAAAAGCTTTGTCTACGGTAGAGAGTTTCTGTTCCTGTTGCATCGTGCTCGGAGTAAAGACATAATCGGCAGAGAAGAGAAAGATATCTCTACGCGCTTAAGTTTTTTCTATTTCCCCCATGCTAAGCCTGCTGATTACTTAAAAAAGATCCAAGTACTCGAAAAAGACTGACGTGGTCATTAAGAATGTTTGTTAGGTTTTTTTATTATGAGACCAAGTGTCGGCACAAGCAAGTTGTGCGCCTGTGTGTGAGCTCTCAGAGCTTTAAATCTCGAAGATCTAAGAGGCACTTACACTGCGCCTGTACCCTGAGACATAAGTTGTCAAGTCCCATGTGCCTGTAATTTCACCAGCAAACTTATAATAATAGGTAAGCCTGGACAAACTCTGTCCCAAGGAGCTCTTCTACTATTAAATCTTATCTCACTTTCCGATCACAAGCAATCCGAATAATTTAGGTGTTCATTAGAAATATTATCACAAATACACGTTAAGACTGGGTCATTGAGCCGCTGTCATTAAACTTGAGTATATACGCGTTTCGAGGATCCAGGATGCTGTTACACACTTCCTGGCCAAACGATCAACGTGCTAACTGTTAAAGACAAAAAACAATATTTACTTATGCACATTAAGTACTAGCATTTAATGAATCTGAGGATGAACACACAGCAAATTCAAAGAATCATTTATTTCATAAGTAAAATAAATTTACATTTGAAAACGTCACATTTAAACTACTGCTCGTTCACTACGCTGACCTCCCTGAGAAGAACGAGCAAGAAACTCTAGGGGTTGCTCTTTTCAAATAAACTTAAATGCTATGGAATAATACACTTTCAATCATATTTGTGTGGATTCTGGACCCATGTCGTCTTTCCATACATATTTATCTAACACGTAGTCTTCAATTTTGTGATATGATTTTTCAATCAAAATATTTTTAATGTACTTTTTAAACTTAGGAAATGATAAACTTAATATATGCTCCGGAATCTTATTGTAAAAACGTATACAGTTCCCCATAAAAGAGTTGTTTACCTTGGTTAAACGAAATCGTGGTACCATGAGTTTGGACTTAGCTCTAAGGTTAATATTATGTATATCTTCTTTCTTAACGAAATTACGTACATTTTTACGGACATAGAAAATATTTGAGTAAATGTACCAGGTTTTGTATATATTACGAGCAATTTGGTAAAGTCACTATGAATAATAACCGGTCTATATTAATAATGCTCGTATCTAGTGGGCAATGTAATAAAAACTGTATGATGAATCACATTCAGTGTGAATAATGACTATGTCTAGGTCAAATAATAAAATAAACGATCTGTAGCGTTTTGATGAGGTTAGGTTTAGAAGTAGGAAACTATTCAAACTGTCCGGTCCAAATGATAAATTTACGATGCTCTTAGAGCGATGCCACACGGGCGTTGCGTACTCGCACCGCAATACACCTTCCCGCTTTGTTTCCTGGTCCCTTGTCCGATGTGCACGCGTTTCGTCATTGCGCGCTGTTGCAACACACCGTGTGGCATGTCATTCTGATTAATAATTTATATGTAGTACCTACAACGCCGTTGCGTTAACGCAAAGCCCGTGTGGCAACTCCCTTGAGAGTCGATTTATTAAATGGACCACGGGCAGTCGGATATTATAAAATAATAATAAATAAATAAGCACACACTCGCCCCGCAATATGGAAATCCTGTATTGACACACATAGCCAACCACAAGTTACACCCAAAATCACGAGAGAAATAAATGTAGGCGACACAAATATTTCTCCCGGCCTAAAAATCGAACCCGCGACCTCTGCATGGTATAGCAGCATTTTAACCGTTCGGCCACAGAGGCAGTTAAATTAGAGGCTGTTTATATAATACAGACCGGCCAAAGTGATAAATTTATCAATTTGGCCGATGCTTTTGGTCATTATTCATAATGATCGCTCCGTATTAATAATGCCCGATTAATCAAAAATCGTCCGTAACATATAGTTGTACTTTCCACAGTCGCTATAAATCTGTTACGTAAGTCACGGGAAGACTTTTGCCGGTTGTCTTGTATTATCTTTGTCACTTTCTGTAACATTCATTGTAACATTTTTTTTGTGTAGGTGTTACAGATCAACGCGATATAAACATATCTAAAAACCGGAATCAAAAGTTACTTTTGGACACTGAAAGATTTACGATTACGACTTTAGCCTGTCCTCTAAATGGATAATGGCTACGGCCGCGTAGGTATACACATCTGTCCAGAGGACATATCCATAACATCGTAAAAGCGTTGGCGGATGCAGGACCAAGATTATCTTGGGCCTATATATTCGCGCTTACCTTCCTAGCCTTTATTCCAAAACCACGACAGACTTTGCCGTAGGAATAGATACGTTAGTGAGTATTAACATAAAGGAAATAAATATTTTTTTCGGATCTACGTTCTGTATATTCGTTTTTTTTCAAACAAACCAACGTTTTGGGCTCTTAAAAGATCTCAGTCACTAGTAATTGAAATGTAATTTGATGGTTCAGATTAGGGTGGTTTGTATTAAGAGACGATACAATCTCAAATGGCTTTGGTGGATTGCGCATAACAGTGAAAGCGTTGAACCAATCACTGGAAAAAATATATAGTAAAATTTAGGACATACACTGATTAGTATACGGTGTGAAAAATATATACCAATGATTTTTTTTTTACGTCAACTGAACTAAATACAGAAAAGAACACGTACAGTATACAATATACATTTACCAAATGACTTTAATGTCGTTCGTAGAAAATAAAGCCAGTGTCTCTGTCGCTCTAGCTAAGCAAAATGAACCGTATTAGCACGGGAAAAATTTGAATCCATGCTGAGGTAGTTAGACATAACTGGTTGATGATAAATACCGTCTGACTCAACTGGGACGTAATCCTGGGGCCCATAAAAAGCCCAAAACGTCGGTTGGTTAGACGAAACAAATGAACGCGATTGAGATCCGAAACATAATTATCCAATGTGTACCGATCACGAAAACGATATCAAAAATCTTGTTACTAACAGTAAATTTTTCATTAGAATTTTTTTATAATATCAAGTGACGGAACCAACGCCTGTCCATAACAGTTGCAGTGCCACTCAGAGCTTTAAATTTTAGGGGCACTGCCACTGAGCCCGTCACCCTGACACATAAGTTGACAAGTCTCATGTGCCTGTAACTTCACCATCACCCACACACAGTAACGCTGACATTACTGATTGGCGACAGAAATAGATAAGGTGACAGTACTCCCCTGAACAAGCTCTTTCACAAGGATTCCCTAGTATTAGGCAACTTTTTTAGAGCAACGTATCTGTAATAACGTATAATGTATCGGGACGTACGGGCCGCTAGCGACGCCTCCAAAGAATCTGTGTAGCTCGCGGCGCAAAGGAAGTAATCGGGCTATTATTGCTTTCCAACATCATTTGACACTACAGAAAGTCCAAACTTAAAATAAAACACGCTTTATCACACATCTTTCGATTCCACAAACTTACCTGACAACTAACGCACACTAAGACATTACACAAGTCACATTGCAACGACACTATCATTACGCAGGTCGCACGCATAGGATTAGTATATCATGATCGCACGTGACATCATACCATTCACTCACACAAACACAACATACATTCATCATTTTTCTTTTTGTTATTGTTAAAACCGCTTAGCGATTAATCGTCGGTATTTAGAAAAACTTACTTTAGTTTATAAAATACTGTTAAGTTTAAGATTATGAATTAATAATGTAACAAGTTATCATAAATAAATAAAAAAAAAAATATATAAGTTCATTCTTTCTACTGGGTTCTCGAGGGCGTTTACTTTTATTAGGGATATTAAACGA